CGGAGGAAAACTCCGTGTTGCCTAGACCACGGCCTTGCCCAACACAAGTTATAAATTCGGGCACCGCCGGGAATCGAACCCGAGATCCCAGGATTACAAGGCCAGCGTTCTAACCGCTAGACCACCGTAGCTCTACACAATAATAATACGAAGCTGTGTTATATATAGTTCTGGTCGTCTGGCGGCGCGCAAATGGTCAGACCGGAGGATCCATTAACCATCGCCAAACGTCTGAAATCGTTTTACAAACGCGAGAAAATAGAAATCAAACTGAATAATATTCCAGATAAATGATCATGTATCTGGACGGCTACAGTAATGTAATTAACTCTACAGCTAATCTCACCTGTTGTTTGACTGCGATGATCGACCAGATGAGTCAAGATTGTTTCGTGTTCGCCTTTTATAAACCTTACCCGATTTGTTTACTTCACCAACATGTGGGAAAAAAAAACGATAAATTGTCTTCTACACTTCTAAGAAAATGAAGGAATAAAAAGAGTCAATACGACTAAGAGATTTGTTTTCCTGCTGTTCCTGAGTGGTACAACTACTTAAGTCCACGTGAGGATTTGCATTCTACTCATCGGCTTATTAGTGGATTTATGTTTCGACATCAGAAGGCACACAGCGTTGTATGAGATGTGAAAATGATTATCAATAATCAGTAAATTGTGATGTTAAAGTTTAGCTATCGTGGCCGATTCGGATGAATGGGTACACGTGACTTACTTAAGGACGCTTGAATGATCGACTGTTTGATGAGCAGTTAGAATTTATCGGAAATTAAGTGGAAAGGACACGGTCATGGCCTAATTGAATTTATCCCCCATAGTATTTTCCTGGAGGAATTGAGGAAAACTGCGAAAAACTGCAGTCTGTATAGCTGGTCTCCGAACCGAGATTTAAACACAGGACCTCCAAAATGCAAAGCATAAATGCTAACCACACGACAAGGACTTTCCGCATGTGTTCAGTTGTCGCTTTCGAACCAAAGGGGAAACAATAGATTCCATGTAGCCGCCATGTCTACAAAAAGTAAGATAGTGTAATTGCGTCATATTGTGAATATTATATCAATTATCTATTTTAATCCGTCCGATCACAATATAATTTTATTTAAAATTTCTTATAATTAAGATAATAAAATATCATTCATGTTCCTTATCGATTGATCGATTTACATTTCGGAACATTTACACAACATGTTTCAGTTTTTA